GATAAAAAGATCAGAATTTAGACTCAGATAAGCTACATTAAACTGTATAGCTATAGAACAGTTATGAAGAATGGAGTTAGATTGCCTGAAATAAATTTTAGCCCAGCCATTTTCCTAGCTGTTTGATGTAAGGCAAGTTACGGAATTCTCTGTGCCTGCTTCCTCATTTGTTCAATAAGTACCTACCTCCCTCAGAGTTGTGAGAATTAAATGATACTCTACATATAGTACTTGTCACATATTAGGTATTCAAGAAGGAAGTGTGGCCTATGATAAGCTTAATCCATCAAAGTTTGGATTTATGTTAAAGATAAATTCTGTCTTTATAGAAGAATTCATTTTGGTACAAGAGTCTGAGGGTAGGGCAAAATAACAAGTAAAATTATATCATGGAAAATAAGGTGTCTACACAAAAATTCCTGTATTGCCATAATTGTTATAATATCCTTAAAATTATCCTAGTAGAAGACTCTGTTTCCTGATTTTATTTTTATTTTAATTGGGCCTTTGAAAAAATAACATGTTTTTGTTGTCTTTTAGACTGAATATCTAGATCCTATGGCATATAAAAACATTGCATTTAATGTAGTAAAGATTTTAGCATTTGATAATTTATTTGGGGAAACACTTGGGATCAGTTCCTACCACTGGAGAAAGAGATGAAATGGATCTCTCATCAGAGCTGTATATAAGCTTATAACTCTCAAGCCTTAAAACTGGTGATGAAAAGCAAAATATCTTTCTCTTCTGTCTTCTTTCGAAGGACAAGTTTTAGAAATTGAAATGTAAACCTATTAGACCTATGACAATAAAAAATGAGCCATTCACATGACTTGTTACTTATTTTTTTTTTTTTTTACCAAAAATGTTGCCTCCCCTCCTTCATTCTTTAGAATATTTAGTAGATAATAAAAAGTTTGTTGACAATAGAATTCATTGACATAAATAAAGGTTCTGATACTTTTCAGTATGGAAGTGCTTCGACTTCATTCCCCAAACTTTTTTTTTTTTTTTTTTTAAGAGACAGGATCTTGCTCTTGTTGCCTAGGCTGGAGTGCAGTGGCCAGATTATAGCTCATTGTAACCTCGAACTCTTGGGCTCAAGGGATCCTCCTGCCTCAGCCTCCCCAATAGTTGGAACTATAGGCATGCACTACTGTACCTGGCTAATTTTTTTTATTTTTTGTAGAGATGGGTTCTCCCTATGTCCCCCAGATTGGTCTCAAACAAGCAGTCCTCCCACTGGGCCTCCCAAAGTGCTGGGATTACAAGCATGAGCCATCATACCCAGCCCACCCCCCGAATTTAATAACCTTAATATAGGACTTCACCTTTCAAAGAACTTTTTTTGTTAGTTGTCATTGAGTTCCTACTATGTTCCCGGTACCAAACTAGGACCTTTATACATATTATCTCATTTAGTTTTTACAACAGCGTTATGAGAATTATTATACCCATTTTATAGTTAAGGAAACTGAGGCTCAAGCCGTTAAATAACTTACTGCTAATATGTGACAGAGTCAGGATTCTAACTGTGGCTTCATTGACTCTTACTGCCTACTGTTCTATTGTTGATGCCACATTGCCTTTCAAAACTGATTCTTATCACAAACATCTTGTTTGTTTTGAAGAATTTATATACTTATATGAGCATGAATGCATACATATGCATGGACGACAAAAAGACTCTACACCAAAATGTTGCTGGTGGTTATCTCTGGATAACGGGTTTATGGAGGATTTTTAATATTTTTTCTTTGTATTTATCTGTATTTTCTACAAATATAAACATTTTATTTTGTAATACACTGTTACATATTGAACATAACAGTAATTGAACGTGACTTATTTTTAATTATTGTTACTTATTTCTAGATCAATTGGCCTTATTTCCACAGTGGAAGTCTCGTCACTATGATGTGGTAGTTGGTGTGTTGTCAGCTCGCAATAACCATGAACTTCGAAATGTGATAAGAAGCACCTGGCTGAAGCATTTGATGCAACATCCTGCATTAAGCCAACGGTAGGTTTTCTGAGGTTACCTTGTCTGGTTTACCAAAATTAGAGTTCTGAAAAACCTGATTTTGGATAGTCAGAGATGTTAGTTCAGATACGTCCTTTTTTCCTGGGAGAAATGGCTGTTACATTTGCTTTTCTTCTATATAGCTGGGCCAAAAAATAAGTTTAACCAAGATTTTAAGCCAGAAGTTAGTTGGAAGAGAGTATATTCACTTGTTAACATATGTAGATTTATAGATACCAAGTATGGTTTGTTTGTTTTTCACTTTGACTTAGAATAGCCATTCTTAGAAGGTTCTATTCCAGAGTAGTTCTCTGCTTAGACACACATTTCTGTCTAAATATCCTTTTAACTAACTTCACAGAGATAAACTTAATTTTTTCCAGTTTTGTAGTATTTTTTAGTTGTGTGATCTGCAGTGTGTGTAATATACCATGCTGTTTTTTCCTGACTACCCTTCCAGAACTGAGGTTTGGTAGTACATCTCACGCTGACATTAGATGGCTCAGGGCTCAGTTATTAGTTAGGGGCCCAGAGCCTTAGTCTGTTCTCAAAGAGACCAGCTTCTGAAGAATATGTAGTGAGGCGTTAGGGGAAGAGATGCATAGACAGTTGGACTTCTAGTTATGAGAAGACTACTTAGGTGATAAGTAGAGAAAGCTCTCTCGGGGTTGCATTAAACTGGCCTGTTTGTGATTGAGTATCCATAAAAGGTAATTGCAGTCATGAATTATCTTGTCACCATTAGTATTCTTACTCATAGCAGCTTTCATGCCTTTTCAAGACAGGTTTCTTTAGTTCATATTTGCAATGACAATGGAACCTATTAGCCAGCAAATGGAAGGCCTCATAATCATTGCTGCTATCAGAACCACCTCTAAACTTGCACTTCCTATAGTCTTTCCCATCTCAGAAAATAATCCCTCCTCTACCAGGAGTCATTATTTGGCTCAGACCAAAGAAAACTTTGATATTATCTTGACTCTTCTTTCTTTCGTGTGCTGCATCCAATCCATCAGCATATCCTCTTGATGCTGCCTTTAGATCATACCTAGAATCCAACTTCTTCTCACCACCTTCACCACTGCCATCCTGATCTAGGCCACCGTTACCTCTCAGCTGGATTATTACAGAAGCCCCGTTCTCTGAATTTCCTGCTTCTACTTTTTACCCCCTACATTTTATTTTCCATATAACAGCCGGGGAGATCCTTTTAAAATTAGTCAAATTATGGAAATTCTTATTCATACCCCTTCATTGACTTCCTTTCTTGCTCAGAGTGAAATCTTATATCTTTATTGTGGTCTTTGACCTTAACTACCTATACTGTCCCTGCACTGACCACCTTACTGTGCTTTATTACACTAAACATGCTCCTGCCTCGGGGCTTTCACGCTTCTTTCCAGCCTCCAACACCCTTTTCCCACCCGGACCACTCTTCCACTAAATGTCCTTGTGGCTCACTTTCTTTAGGTCTCTATTTAGATGTCACCCTAGCAGACAGCCCCATATTAAATAACACCTCACCCCTATTCTGTCTCTATCTTCCCTTAGTTGGCTTTATTTTTCTTTATGGCACATATCACCAACTGGCACCTTTATTGTACTTAGTTGTGTATTTATAAATTGTTTGTCTTTCTTAGCTAGAATGTAGGTTTCATGAGCATAGGGGCTTCAGTTTTTTTCACTGGTGTATCCCCAGTGCTAAGAACCTAGCTTGGCACAGACTACGGCACTCAACAACTGTTGAATGAATGACTCAGAACTAAATGTAATGAGTAAGGTTAACATTCATACATTCACCAGTAATTTATTTGCCATCATAGCAGTCTTGCTTTAAATTTAGTAAGCTTGGTTTGTGTGATGAAAATGATTTGCCATCTGTATAAAAATAGATATTAGGCAAAAAGAACTTCCTGGGGGGAGTCATTTTGTCGATCTATAAAGAGTATATATGACTAAAAAAACAAATTTGGTAAATATATGCAATAATTTAGCATATTCATTCATTTCTGTTTATACTTTTATCCCAAATGCTAGTTATCTATGAAAGGATTCTGCCTTAATTGGTAATTAGTAAAAGAAAATGCATTTCTGTGGTTACAGTTTCCTTTCCAATCTTGCATTTTACTGAAGGAGCCAAACTCAACATGTATTTCAAGGACATTAGTTCTAAGCCTTTCTTATAAACCATAATTTGTCAATTTAACATATTTATTAAGTATCTTCTGCAAACAGTATACTATGTGTGGCAGAGTATAAAGATAGATATAGCTGAGTGTTTAGGGGGAATGAAGTTTAGTAGAAGGAAATAGATGTAATAGTGTAATAAATGTTATACGTGCTGTGATATAAATAGATATAAAATAGTCTGGAGTGTTTGGGAAACTCCAAGCAGTTTTACATAACTGGAGCGCAGGGATTATAGGGAATGGGAAGTAGAGTGTGAGAGAGAGCTCCAGGGAAGGAAGGAGGGGCAGAGGGAGAAAGTATATGAAGACAGGAGGGAAGGCGTATGACTGTGAGAGGTAGGCAGTGACCAGATCGTGCAGAACAAGGGTTAAGTGGAAGAGTGAGACCTGTTTAGACAAGCACTGCTGAGAGGCTGAAAAGTGGTGACTTTGTAAGAGGATAAGAGAATAAGGTCATTGAATGTAGAAAGAGGAGGAGAAGTCTAGAATATAGCATTCTGACTTGGAGAATAGTAGAATCATCAATCAAGACAAAATATGACATAAGAACGGGTTTTATGGGAAAGAAGCTCAATTGTAGATACGTTGAGTTTGAGGTACCTGCATGCACTGATATGCTGGTAGATATTTATTAATTGGCTCTCTGGAAAAAAGTATGCTTATCTGTACGTATATGTTTATTATAAATTTTATTGATATAAAGGATGTTTACACATAATTGACAGATAATAACATACACAATAATCTTTATTGTAAATTCCATGTAGCCAATGGATTCTCATAGAATGCTTTTGTTGTTTGCCAGACTCTTGTATCTGTAACCAACTTATGGTTGCAATTGACAAAGGAATATAGTTCTGGCATAAATCTTTTAAGAGTTAAGACTAAAATGACAGCTGAGATATGTCAGAACTTTACTCTTTGTTGATGAAGTCAGTGGCTTCTTTGCTGAATCTAATAAGACTTTTGAACACTGAAATAGTATTTCCATGATTTTTTTAATACTATCCACATGTAATAGTTATAGACACATCACATTAACTTTGATCTGCATTGTTAATATTTTCTCCATTCTTTCTTAAGTCTGCAGTCAACAAAACAGTAAATCAAGTCCTTATTTGTACTGTTCGCCAATTTCTACGGTGCAAATATTCCGACTATGGCAAATTTCAAGCAACTAATTGGGCATCACTGAACACAGAGTTGGGGAAAGATAGGTGGTAGTATGCCATGTATAAGATTTCCATCATAGAGATGTAATAGATCTAAATAACCTCAATAACATAGATAATATTAAAATGTAATAAAATCAGAAAATCATTAATTTATTAGTTCCTTTGTTTTTAATACATTTTTAATTGTAAGTGTATATAATTTAATTTTTAATAAAAGTTGTGTTAATAACCATCTCACAAAATTTCTGAAAATTTAACGGTTGGTTCTCATAAGCTAGTATGAGTAAGCTTCAGCACACAACTGTCTGTGGGTCATCGCAGTGAAGATGTCCAATGAATTCATGGATCTTTTACTTAGAAGATGGGTCAAAATTAGAGTAACTAATTCAAGAATCATTCCCAGGCTAGTTAAAGCCTTGGGAATAAATAATGTCCAGGGAGCGGGAGGGAAAAGAGTAGATTGAGAAGAGATCCCAGGGCAAAGCCCTGGACTAATACCCACTCTCAGTGGACAAGCTGTGGAAGAAGAGCCAGTGAAGCCAACTGAGCAGGCCATGGAAGGAAGGGAGGAAAGCGTTTTAGGGATGTCAGTAGTATTGAACCATAGAGAAGTCACGTAGGTAAGGCTTGAAGAGTGCCTATTGATTTAGCAGCAGATCTTTGGTTACATTGGTGATAGGCATCTCAGTGGAAGTGGTGCATGTTGAAGCCAAAATTCCTATTTTATAAAATAAGTGGGAAGTAAGAAACTAGAGGCTGCAATTTTAGTTAATATTTTTGTAGGACCTCAGTGTAAATGAGTGTGGTGACAAGGAAGGATGGTAGGTGAATAGAAATTAGTGTCAGGACACTGTCATATTTATAATGTGGAAGGAAGGAGCCATGGATACAGGAGTAGCCAGTGAAGCAAGGTCTAGGAGAGGAGGGGACCTTCTCTTAGATAGAAAAACTAATCTTGAGCAAAAGGATCACCTTCTGAAATAGAAGAAAGCAAAAAAGGAAAGTTTTAGATATAAATATGTTTTTAGGTATGGGCATGAGAAGTTGACTTGACTTGTAGTTTACTTTTAAATGATATGAGTATTTGCTAGTAGTCAGGCCAAACAGATTCATACTTGCTTTAATATCGTATTGCAGTAGAGGGCTTATGCATAAGTCACTTGGCAGTTAGCAACTTTTGGTTTGCTTGTTCCCCCTTTTTGCTAGCTAGACTAGAAGAATAAAGGTACAGAATTAATCCTCATAAATACTTGTGTCTCAAAGTAAAAGCTCTGAAATGGGCGTGAGGAAACATGCATGTGCGAGGTGAAGATCAGTAACTGATGTTAATGCCAACACATCTCTCAGTGTGCTTGTGAAGTTCATAATAGGTGCTCGTGGCTGTGAAGTGCCTGTGGAAGACAGGGAGGATCCTTATTCCTGCAAACTACTCAACATCACGAATCCAGGTAAGTCATCTTTTTTCCTGAGACTGCCATATACAAGTTTGATGTTGAGTAAAAGTTGCTAAGTTTAATAGTATGGAGTTGGTTTTTTTTTTTTTAATCCACACATCTGCACACTGATGGAGTCTGTTTTTAACAGCTTAAATATCTTTCATCAAAATTTATGTTTCATCCTTTTTGACAGACTGACTAATCGGGGTATCTGTAGAGATTCTTTACAGATACAGAACTTCAGGGTCCAGGAGAGTTTATTTTTCAGTGTGACTCAGATGCATTTGGAAATTCCTTATGCTTAGATAAATCCTGAATTACTGAATTTGAACCTTTTGGAAAACCGATGATTTCACCAATTCATTTATAATAGCCTTGATACAAATATTGTGAATCAACTTTCTCCTAGAATTATTGCCTAAGCTTCTGCAAAAGAAACAAATAGTAAAAAAATTAAAAATACAAGTAATATTATTTATTCCTTATAATTAAAAGTTTGTAGGGATTCTTGTGAGGATGAACAAAGCTGATCCTAATTAGGTTCTCTGTGTCACTGGGGAACCAATTTTTATAAAGTTGATAACTGTATAACTTCATTAGCACTTCCTATTATGTTCAGCTGTGATTCTAAGGGAAGTTAAACTTTGCCAAGTCTTAAATGTGCTGATTATGACTTCTGATATTTTAAGGTTTGTGAAAACTATATAATTAAGTAACACCTCACTTTTATAGGTAGCGATAGTACACTGCTTAGGAGTGTGGGCTCTGAAATCCAGGCTCTGCCGTTTTCTAGCTACATGACCTCCTGTGCCTCAGTTTCATGACTTGTAAACTGGGGATAAAAGTGTCTCTACTTCATGGGGATGGATGTGAGGATGAAATATTTGAAATAGTTTCTAGGACACGGTAGGTACTTGATATTGTTATTTTAAAGAATCTGCCTTTTTATAAGGTTGGATTTCAAACAGCTCTTTAAATGGTCTATATAGTCAGGTCTGTAATATAAAGCAGGGGTTCCTTAGAATGTCTATGAATTTAGTTAGCATTATAAGCAAAATTTTGTGCATCAGTTGTAGTCTAGGAACCTCTCCTTTTAACTTTCACTGGGGTCCCAAAGGGATCATGAACCTCATTAAATGTTGTTACTGGTGATGTGGGAGCCACGACAAATTACAGTTGAAAGCTAAACAAAACCCTCAGTTTTAAATTAACCAGGCTTTTATTATCTTAAGAGCTTTTATTCTTAATAGTAAAGGAGTGGAACTTTATATTAATGGAAAATTTTCAGAGATATATATATACACACACACACACATACATATATAAAAATACCTAGGTTACAAATTTTTAAAAATATATGTAGCTAAATTAATACTGAACCTAATTTTATCTTTTTGGTGATCTATTTTAGGTTATTAAGTATGGAATGTCCGATTTCCTTAAGTACTAAGTATGACAGTTGATATCTTTGACATTTCACTTTGACATTTTTTTTCTCTCTTTTAGTTGTGAAGGTAAATCCTCATTCTTTCAAATGCAAATTTTGGCTTGTGATTATCTTTCATATTTTTTTAGAGCAATTTTTGTGAAGCCATGGATAAGTCAAAAATGCATGTTATTTTTTAATATGAGTTCTGTCATGAAATCAGTGCAGCACAGACAGCTCAAAATAGCAATGAAGTATTTGGGAAGCATGTGGCTAATGAATACATAGTACGTCAACGGTTTAAGAAGTTCCATTCTGGTGATTTTAATCTTGAAAATGAGCCATGTGGGTGACCTGAGACCAAGGTGGATAATGATGAGCTGAAAGCTGTAGTGGAAGCGAATCCATCTCAACCTATAAGTGAATCAGCAGCAAGGTTTGACATTATTATTCCAACAATATTGAACCATTCGAAACAAATGGACTAGATAAAGAAGCTAGTATAGATGGGTATGACTTGAATTAAAAGAGTGTCAGAAGGGAAATTGCCTGGAAGCTTGCCTTTCTTTGCTGTCACGATATAAAGGTGAACCATTTCTACACTGTATTGTCATGTGTGACGAAAAACGGATTCTTTTTGACAATCTCAAGTGTTCAGCACAATGGTTGGATAAAGATGAAGTGCTGAAACACAGCCCAAAACCGAATATTCATCAAAAAAGCTAATGGTCCAGCCTGAGCAAAAGCGAGACCCCGTCTCTACTAAAAATAGAAGGAAATTAATTGGACAACTAAAAATATATAGAAAAAATTAGCCGGGCATGGTGGTGCATGCCTGTAGTCCCAGCTACTCGGGAGGCTGAGGCAGAAGGATCGCTTGAGCCCAGGAGTTTGAGGTTGCTGTGAGCTAGGATGACACCACAGCACTCTAGCCCGGGCAACACGGTGAGACTCTGTCTCAAAAAAAAAAAAAAAAAAAAAGCTAATGGTGTCTGTTTGGTGGTCCAGAGCTGGTATTACCCACTACAGCTTCATGTAACCTGTTCAGTCGATTACAGCGGATGTCTGCTACAACCAATTGGACAAAATGATTGAGGGTGCTTGCGATTAAGCAGCCGAGAGTGGTCAACAGAGATAGGCCAATCCTCTTGTAAGACCACATGTCACAAAAAACAGTGCTGCTCAAACTACAGCAGCTGGACTTGGAAACTCTCTGTCATCCACTGTATTCACTAGACTTTCCCCCAACTGACTACTACTTCTTCCAGGCTTTGGACCACTTCTTGCAAGGAAAAATATTCAATTCTCAACAAACTGTGGAAAACGCCTTTCATGATTTCATCACCACTTGCTCTCCGGGCTTCTTCGCTGCTGGCATAAGCAAGCTACCATTAAGATGGCAAAACTGTGTCGTCGTTCAGGCACATACTTTGATTAATTGTACTGCTTCTTGTTTGAGATATAATAAACTAAACTTTTGATTTGAAATCGGACATTTCATATTTAATGACCTAATAGAAAACATTTATGGTTATTTCAGTACCTAAAGGTCATGATGAGCATTAATCATCATGATACTGCGGATGTGCAGAAGGTTAGATTAATAGCATTAAAGGAACAGGATTTCCCATGTCCAGGTAACTTGAGGTTCAAGGTACATTTGTTCTAGATAGAAAATATCTAAAAATCACAATTTGCTTGACATAGTGCTTTTAATAGACAGGCTTCTATTTTGGACATCTTTTATTTACTGAATATATTAAAGAGAAAAAATTTTGTTGTCACCAAGTATATTTGGAGTCTAGACTCTCCAGTCAGTGCTTTCCCAGCCCATGGCAAAAAAGTATATTCTCCTTTTTTTCTTTCCTGTTCATGTCTATAATTAGGTAGGAGCCATGACTACCCTGTAGTCACATTTTATTGAGCATCTATTAAGTATAAAATAGCTTCTAGGAACTCTAATGTGGGGAGCCAAATGATCTGCCTGATTGTGGGAAGAAAATATAATCTTTATCGAATATAAAGACTGAATATATAGACTGATCACAATATATGTATATATTTTGTAAATAAATATTTGAGTGTGTTATACAAATTTTTTTAACTGATGGGTCTGTACAATCAGCAAAATTTGAAAACCACAGCTCTAAAAGATATAAGGAACTTTGATATAATCTTTTAAAATAGGTTTTTACATTATTTCTTAAAGTAGCACTGTTATCTGTGTCATATTAACTGCTTCATGTAATCTATCCTGATTCATTTATGGTAATTAGAACAATTATTTGAAAAGAATTGTTTTTGTCACTGGTTAGACAGCTGTGTGGGATTGGAAGGGAACTGACTTTGGAGTCACTAAACCTGGGTTTGATTCCTGGCCCTGCCACTTTCTGTGACCTTGGTTGAATTGCTTAATGTCTTTGAGCCTCAATGTCTTAATCTATAAACTAGAAATAATGCCACCACCATGCAGGGTAGTTGTGAAGATGTCATTGTGATGGGTAATGTCACATAGTAGGTGGTCCAAAATGTTTACTGTGTTTGATATGCTTATCTTTTATCAATACTGTGTAGCAAGAGTTTTTTAGTGTTATTTGAAGTTACTTCAGCTACTTTTATACTGTGATAATTGACTGGGCTCAAACAATCCTCCTACCTCAGTCTCCAGAGTAGCTGGGACTCTAGGTGCTCACCACCATGCCTGGGTAATTTTTTTTTTTTTGGTAGAGACAGGGTATTGTTAAGTTGTCCAGGCTGGTCTTGAACTCTTGGCCTCAAGGGATCCTCCCACCTTGGCCTCCCAAAGTGCTGGGATTACAGGTGTGAGCCACTGTGCCAGGCCTAGTGGGTTTTTTTAATTCCTGCCTTTGTGAAAGAATTATATAACAAATAATTATCTAGGTTTTGCTGTTAAGCCCACTTCAGTACTTCGTATTAGTAAAATAAAATGTTATATTTGTTTGATTATGTAAAACCTCTGTTCTCATTACTTCCTTAGTTTTAAATCAGGAAATTGAGGCATTCAGTCTTTCTGAAGACACTTCATCAGGGCTGTCTGAGGACCGAGTTGTCAGTGTGAGTTTCCGAGTTCTCTACCCGATCATTATTACCAGTCTTGGAGTTTTCTATGATGGCGATGATGTGGGTTTCCAAAGGAACATCACTGTCAAGCTTTATCAGGCAGAACAGGAGGTATGACTGCTTTGTACAGGATTTCCTTCATTTCGCTTTTCAAAAACATCAACTTTTCTTTATGGGGCATATATAGTAGATTGGAAGACTATATAATTCTCCCTGGTTGGGAGACGTCAGCCTTTCTTCCCTTACTGATTGAATACACTGTAGTGTAATATATCATAAGGCTGGTTTGGGGAGAGATTACTTATGAATGTATGTATTATATCTCAGAAAGAAGGAGTTGACTAAATTAGAAGTTCCCAACCTGAAATCCTCTAAAGCCTAAGGAATTTCAAAAGTTGGTAATGGATATAAAAAGTCTGGGACTTTAGGATGAGTATTATTGTCACTTTCTTCCAACCATGAAAGTCTATAATACAAGGCTAACAGCTGCTTCAAATCTTTTTTGTGATAAGGATGTAGTAGAGGGAATAAAAGTTTAAAACCACTGAGATTACTCTGTTCCTATTATTTGTAGTAATCTGATTTGTTCACAGGGTATATCTAAAGGAGTGTAGCATGAATTTTTATTTGAAAAGATCTGTTTCTGAGTTTTAAACATACATAAAACTTGAAAGAATTATATGGTGAACACTCATATAGCCACCAAATAGATACTATGGTACTATGGGAGTTAACATTTTTCTGTGTTTGCTTAATCACTTACATATTCGTTCATCAATCTTTTTTTCTTTCTTTTTTTTTTGGAGACAGAGTCTTTCTCTATTGCCTCAGCTAGAGTATAGTGACATCATCATAGCTCACTGCAACTTCAAACTCCTGGGCTCAAATGATCCTCCTGCCTCAGCCTCCTCAGTAGCTGGGACAACAGGCGTGTGCCACCATGCTCAGCTGATTTTTTCTATTTTTAGTAGGGACGGAGTCTAGCTCTTATTCAGACTGGTCTCAAACTGCTGACCTCCAGGGCTCCTCCCAGACTCCCAGAGTGCTAGGATTACAGGTAAAAGCCACCACGGCCGGCCCTCAAGCTGTCTTTTTTAACACATTAACTGCCATGTAATTTGTATGTAACTCACACTAGTTTTGAGCCCAGGACCTTGTAAAGCGTATGTGACTCACACGTCTCTTTACCTTCGGAGGCTCGAGAACTATTTTCCAAGTTGCATATAACTCATGCCCAGAAAACAATAAAAAATAACAAATTTTTCATGAATTTAGAAAGGATCGTTTTGTTTTCAAAGATTTTATTCTATTATCTTAATAAAACACCGTGGCCCCAAGGAAAAATTTTTTTTTCTTGTGTGGCAGTCAATGTGTTAAAATGTATTGCACAGTAAGTTGCAGACATCAGTACGCTTCAACTCTAAACACTTCAGCATGCATATCATTAACTAGACTGTGAGATTTGTTTATAGTTTTTAATATTTACATACAGTGATATGCGTAATTTTTTATACTGCATAAACCCATATAACCCAAACTGCTATCAAGATATGGAGCATATCACCCTAGAAAGTTCCCTCATGTTTCTTGCTAGTCAGTTCCTTCCCAACCCCCAAGAGGCAACCACTCTTCTGATTTTTTTATTTTACCCATAGACTAGTTTAGTCTTGGACTTCATCTATAAATGGAATTATATAGTAAGTACTCTACTGTAGGGCTTCTTTCACTCAACATAATGTTTTTGAGATTCATCCATCATGTTGTAGGATGAGCGAATTTTTTCTTTTCATTCTTTTAATTGCTAAGTAGCATTCCAGCCAATATACAGTGTTTATCAGTTCTGTTGATAGGCACCTAGAATGTTTCCAGAGTTTCTCTTCTTTATTCTGTTAATGTGATGAATTACGTTTATTGACTTTGTAACGTTAAACCAATCTCTTATTCCTGGGATAAACCCCTCTTGGTCACAAAGTGTTATTATTTTTAAAATATTACTGGAAATTGTTTTTTCTGGATAACATATAGTTGGATCTTTCTTTTTATCCATTCTGAGAATCTCTACTTTTTATAGGAAATGTTTATTCCATTGACATTTAATACAGTTGTCAAAGTAGTCAGATTTCAGTTTTCATTTTGCCATTTGTTTTCTGTTCTTTTTTTGTTGTTCCGCTGTTCTTCCTTCACTGCCTTCTTTTGTGTTAATTGGATATTTTTCAAATTCCACTTTAATTTTTCTGTTATCTTTTTAGCTACAGCTCTTTGTACTTTTATTTTTTGTATGTATGGTTACCATAAAAATTACAATATACATCCTAAACTTTTCAGTTTTCTTAAAGTTACTGTTGTACCCCTTCACGTAAAACATAAGAACCTTGCAACTATGTAGTTCCATTTCCTAGCCCTCAAGTTTTTTGCTGTAGTTATCATATATATTACATCTATGTATGCTATAAATCCCACAATACAGTGTTATAATTTTTGCTTTAAACAGCTGACTGGATATTAAGGGAATTTAGAAAAAAATAGCCTCTTATATTTGCCTACATATTTACCGTTTCTAATACTCTTCATTCCTTCTTAAATATCTGAGTTTCCATCTAATGCTGTTTGCCTTCAACCCAAATAACAACCTTCAGCATTTCTTATAGTGCACGTTTACTGCTGATGAACATGCTTAGTTTTTGTTTTTCTGAAAATATTTTTCTTTTACCTTTATTCTTTTTTTCCCCCTTTATTCTTTTGGGCTCTTTTTTGAATATGGAATTCTGGGTTGATCTTTTTTTTCCCCCCAATATTTTAAAAATGCATTCTGTTGCTTTATGGCTTCCATTATTTGTGGTAAGACGTCAGCCATCCTTCATATTGTTGTTCCTATGTATGATGTACATAATGTGGTTTTTGTTTGTTTTTTCCTAGCTGCTTTTGAGAGATTCTCTCTTTATATTTGGTTTTTAGCAATTTGGTTGTGTTGTACCTTAGTGTGGTTTTTCTTTATGTCTGTTTTGCTTAGGATTTGCCAAATTTCTTCAATCTGTTAATTTATGTCTTTTACCAAATTTGGGAAATTTTCAGCTATTAATGTCTTCAAAACTTTTCCAGCCCCACCTGTTTTCTCCACTCCTCCTGGGATTCCAGTTACCTGTATGTTAGATCTTTTGGTATTGTCCCGCAGATCATAAGACTGTGTTCATTTTTTTCAATGTTTTTTCCTGTTTTTCGGATTTAGATAATTTCTGTTACTATGTGTTCAAGTTCACTGACTCTTTTGTCATCTCAAATCTGTGGTTAAGCCTATCCAATGAATGTTTTATTTTAGATTTGTTTTAGATATTGTACTTTTTTTTTTTTTGAATGACCAATTCCTTTTATTTTTTCTTTTCTGCAGAGTAGTTTTTACAATATTAGCTTCTTTAATCAGGAAAAATTGAAAAAAAATTTTTTTTTTTTTATTTCAGGGTATTGTGAGGGTACAAACATTAAGGTTACACTTTATGTCTTTGCCTCACCCAAGCGAGCGTTAGAGGCATGCCCTTCCCCCCTACAATGCTCCCCATGTCCTTTAGTTGCGGGTTTACCCCCCCATCCCCCTAATCTCTGGAGAGTATTACTGCCATGTGAGCACCATAGTGTTCATTAGTTAGTACCAATTCAATGGCGAGTACAAGTGGAGCCCATTCTTCCGATCTTGTGGTGCCTCGCTTTGGATAGTGGGCTTAAGTTTAATCCAGAAAAGTGTAAGAGGTGCTAGCTGACTATCATTTCTTATGATTGAGTAATATTCCATTGTATACATATACCAAATTTTAATAATTCATTCATGGATTGACGGGCACTTAGGTTGTTTCCACATCCTTGCAATAGTGAATTGTGCTGCCATAAACATTCAGGTGCAGATGTCTTTGTCATAGAATGTTTTTTGCTCTTTTGGGTAGATGCCTAATAGTGCTATTCCTAGATCAAATGGTATTTCTATTTTTAGCTCTTTGAGGAATCTCCAAATTCTTTTCCACAGAGGTTGCACTAATTTGCAGTCCCACCAGCAGTGTAAGAGTGTTCCTCTTCTCTCCACATCCTCGCCAGCATTTGTTATTTTGGGATTTTTTTCATAGAGGCCAATCTCACTGGGGTTAGGTGATATCTCATTGTGGTTTTGATTTGCATTTCTCTAATGATTAGAGATGTTGAGCATTTTTTTATATGTTTGCTGGCCGTTATTCTGTCTTCTTTTGAAAAGTTTCTGTTCATTTCCTTTGCCCATTTGTTGATGGGGTTGTTTGATTTTTTCTTACTGATTTTTTTGAGTTCTAGATAGATTCTGGTTATCGGTCCTTTTAGATATTGTACTTTTTAGTTCTTCAATTTCTATTTAGTTCTTTTTTACAGTTTCTTTAAAATTTCCTATGTGTCATTAATTTTGAGCATATTTTTCTCTACAGGCTTGACCATAGTATAAAAACAGGTTTAAAATCCTTGTCTGCTTATTGCAAGTCCTCTTGGAGTCTGTCTTTATTGATGGTCATCTTTTCTCTTAAGTATGGGTAACAGTTTCCTGTTTTGTGTCTAACAACTTTGGATTGTATCCTAGTGTGAGTAATTCATTGTAGGAACTCTGGATTCTATTATATTCCTCAAAGGGTATTGTTTTTTTTGTTTGTTTTAGGAGGCAATTAAATTGGCTGGACACAGACTCTTCTAACTCTGTCTCCTTTGCAATGGGCAGCAGCTGAAATCTCCATTCAATTCTTTTGGACTTAGATGGGCTGCTTGAATTCTGCCTTGAATATGTATTTAATGAGTCAGCCACAGATATGGGCAGAGTTTATATGAATTTATAGCTCTCTCCCTTTGCAATCCTTTCCTTTCTGGGAGGTTTCCCCTCACCACCACTGCTCTCTTTGAGCTGATGTGTTTGCCCCAACTCTTGTCTTCTAGTTTTTCAACCAGAAAGACTAGGTTTTCATTCAAATTTTTAGTTGCCCTAGAGTTGTATCTTCAGACAAAGAGCCATAAGGGGGTGGGAGATGTATATTCAGAGCCTTTTCATTCTTCCAAGTGTTCCTCCAGTTTATGCCTGCTTGTTCAAATTCCAGTGCCTTCACATCATTGTCTTTTATGTTTTTTCCAGAGTTCATAATTATTATCTACAGGAGAATTGGTTTGATATTACTGGAAGCAGAACTCTGTTCAGTTTTTTAAAATGTGTTTGTATTATTATTGTTGGTTGTTAGCAATGTTAGAGAGTCACCAATAAATATTCAAATCAGTTTAAAATTAAGTTCCTTTTTTGCAATTTGTCCTATTTTTAATTCCTTTAAAGATCTGGGTAGTTTGTTAATGTGTTTGTAGACATAAATGTAAGAGAGAGAGAACAAATCCTGATGATACTAGCTATTCTTCCAGTGAGAAGAGCTTTATAAAGTTACTTAGCTATAGGGGTCCATATATGACTGTGGTTAAAGGTTTCCTTTATACTGAAGTTCAAATAGGTAACTAAGATAGCAGTACTCTGAATTCCACTGTTATCCTTATCTAGAGATTAGAATTAATCTTGAAATTTTTAGATACACTTGTTTAATTATCTTAGTATATAATGTGTGAGTTATCAATCAAGTAGTTTGGTTCAGACATACAGTATTTTAATCATGTTGATTTAACTTTTAGTTTTTTAACCAGGGAGGAGTTAATAATCTTTATCCTCAGGAAAGGACTAGTCTAAGATAGATGCTAATGGGTTCATGGGTAGTCACAATGCAAAAAATATTCTCACTGCATCACTAAGAACTGCTGTTCATGAAAGAAATAAACATGATCTATTGACATGTCCTTAGTTTTGAACTTCTGCATGGTCTTGATAGCTTAACAGAATTTTCTCCTATGGTAAGTTTGTATATAAGAATAGGCATGAGGCCGGGCGTGGTGGCTCACGCCTGTAATCCTAGCACTCTGGGAGGCCGAGGCGGATTGTTTGAGCTCAGGAGTTCAAGACCAGCCTGAGCAAGAGCGAGACCCCGCCTCTACTAAAATTAGAAAGAAATTAATCGGCCAACTAAAAATATATAGAAAAAATTGGCCGGGCATGGTGGCGCATGCCTGTAGTCCCAGCTACTTGGGAGGCTGAGGCAGAAGGATCACTTGAGCCCAGGAGTTTGAGGTTGCTGTGAGCTAGGCTGACGCCACGGCACTCACTCTAGCCCGGGCAAAAAGAGTGAGACTCTGTTTCAAAAAAAAAAAAAAAAAAGAATAGGCATGAGAATAAGGAAATGTTCTTGCCTAAAAGAAATGGGAAGGTCCAGGGAAAAATAGACATAATGAAAATTAGTCCTCTTTTATATTCCCTTTTTTGTTTATATTATTTTCTTAAATTTTTTTTGTACCCCAATCTTATTACCCCAAGGTTCTTTTTGAAAGGGGATTCTCGAGTGCTTTTGTTATCTATAGAAATCTGTGACCTTTCAGTTTAGTCTTAGCCCTTTGGGGGAGTTTTGACACTATAATGTATTGACTTAGTTTAACACCTCTCACTTCCCTTAATGTTTTTTATTACAAGGTGGGATTTTTTTTAAGTTTATGTGAATTATGTTTATTACTTGAGAACTTTATGACAACTTTGATCATCTTAAATATCTTGATTTAATAAGCATGACTGCACTAGAAAACCGAAATGGTACCAAATGATGCCAGTACAATGTTAGTAACCACAGTTAAGGCCATTGTGGGTTTAGCTCACCAAGGTATAAGGTGTTTGAAACTTGTTGCAGCATATAACATGAAGCATTTTTTTCTCCCCCCCCGCACCCCCAATTTGTAGGAGGCCCTCTTCATTGCTCGCTTTAGTCCTCCGAGCTGTGGTGTACAAGTGAACAAGCTGTGGTACAAGCCTGTGGAACAGTTCATCTTACCAGAGGTACAGGGTGTAATGAAAAGACTGCAGTAGCAATGCAGTCGTTCATAGGAGGGGGTCTGTGCTTTCAGGGGCAGGCACTTGATGTTTTCCTGTACCAGGGCAGCTCTCCAGAGTGGTAGATGAGGTACCAACTATGAATGTACTAAAATGTAGCTCTCTGCATTTGTACCCCCAGAGAACCTCATGATGCCTCAGAGATTCTAAAGCTACACTTTTTGAAACTCCTTACATGTTGCCATAGTTTATTTAGTGGAGTAGAGAAATGTACAACTGTTTTAATGACAAGGGATGGTTATTAGGTATGGATTGACAGAAAGACCAGACACAGGTAACATTTGGATAAATCAAACAGTTTACTTATCTGAAGAATGAAAAAGGGGAGTGGGGAAGAGGCACTGCAGACAGGATAATGGCAGAGAGATGAGCCACATTTCCAAGTTAAATAAAACTTCTCCAAAGGGTGAACAGCTGTGTTTGACACCTGAAAACATACCTATCACTTTCTGGGTCCCTCTAGGTCCAGTTTTAAATAGATAGGTGCTGGAGAGCACCTCACCCTCCAAGTGCTCTCATCAGTCCCAGAATTAAGCCACGATACGGTTGGCAGAGTGTGACAGAATTGTGCATGAACAAATTATTCATCCATCAGCCTCAGCCCTTTCAGGCTGTTTTAGCCTAGCCTGGATACATCCCTGAACTTAGTGCTCTGGAACCACAATAGGGGTCAGTTTTATGGACATCTCTGGGATTTACTTTAGATAACATATAAAGTTCATACTGCAGCGTCAAATCTTAGTTAAGATGTAGAAGCTAGACAATTGGCCAGCTTTGCTGACTAACCAAGAAACTTTACAACGAGTCTTTTGGGATGCTTTTCACATTTGTGCAACAATGGGAACCACAGATTTTTATGATATGCTGTGGATCTTTGGAGTTGGGTACAAGTAGTTGAAACTATATGTTAATTCTGTGAATGTCAAAGGGATCTCTTTTTCATCTATATATGAGCTTCTATTTTAAAAACTTTTAAATATAGCCAAACTAAAACACACTGGAAAAAAATAGAAATTGCAGCTAAACTAAAGGAAAACAATTAAGACCACCAAAATCCCCTAATTTGGAGATAACAACATTTAACATTTTGGCCTCTATGCGTATATAGTTACGAGAATTATACTGTTCATCCTGTTTTATAATTTACTTTCTTTAACATATGATGAACATCTTTTTTTAAGTTTTAATAATTATGGGTATAGAATAGTTGTATATATTTATAGGGTACATACTGTTCATCCTGTTTTATAATTTACTTTCTTTAACATATAATGAACATCTTTTTTTAAGTTTTAATAATTATGGGTATAGAATAGTTGTATATATTTATAGGGTACATGTGATGTTTTGATACAGATGTACAATGTCTATTAATCAAATCAGGATAATAGGGGTATCCATCACCTCAGGCATTTATCATTTCTTTATGTTAGGAACATTCTAATTCCAGTGTTTTAGTTAGAGTATACCCTAACTTATTGTTGATTATAGCCACTTTGTTGTGCTGTCAATTATTATTCATTCTATCTAACTATGTAACTATATTTTTGTACCCATTAACCTCCACTTTATCCCCCAACCCCCTGCTACGCTTCGCCATCCTTTGGTAACCATCATCCTACTCTCTGTCTCCATAAGATCAATTGTTTTTTAATATTTAGCTCCCACATATGAGTGAGAACATATGTGTGATTTGTCTTTCTGTGCTTGGCTTATTTTACTTAAGGTTCTTCAGTTCCATCTGTGTTGTTACAAATGGCAGGATCCTTTTTTATGACTATATCATATTCCACTGTGTATATGTACCATAATTTCTTTATCTGTTTATCCATTGATGGACAAATTGATTCCAATTCTTGCCAGTTATGAATAGCGCTTCAATAAACATGGGTGTGTAGATATCTTTTCAATACATGGAATTCTCCTCCTTTGGATGTATACCTAGCAGTGGGATTGGTGGGTCATACAGTAGTTCTCTTTTTAGTTTTTATTTTGTTTTGTTTTGTTTTGTTTTCAGACAGAGTCTCACTCTTTTGCCTGGGCTGGAGTGAGTGCCGTGGCGTCAGCCTAGCTCACAGCAACTTCAAACTCCTGGGCTCAAGCCATCCTCCTGCCTCAGCCTCCCGAGTAGCTGGGACTACAGGCATGCGCCACCATGCCCGGCTAATTTTTTCTATATATTTTTAGTTGTCCAATTAATTGGTCTCGCTCTTGCTCAGGCTGGTTTCAAACTCCTGAGCTCAAACAATCTGCCCGCCATGGCCTCCCAGAGTGCTAGGATTACAGCCATGAGCCACTGCGCCCGGCCCTTTTTTTAGTTTTTTGAGGAACATCCATACTGTTCTCCACGGTGGTTACACTAATTTACATTCCCACCAGCAGTGTACAAGGGTTCCACATCCTCGCCAGTATTTGTTATTGCTTGTCTTTCTGATAAGAGCCATTTTAACTGGAGCGAGATGATATCTCATTGTAGTTTTGATTTGCATTTCTCCGGTGGCTAATGATGTTGAGCATTTTTTCATATATCTGTTGGCCATTTATATGTCTTCTTTTGAGAAATGTCTATTCAGATCCTTTGCCCATTTTTTAATCAGATTATTTGATTTTTTTCCTGTTGTGTTGGAGCTCCTTACATATTCTACTTACTAATCCCTTGTCAGATGGGTATTTTGCAAATGTTTTCTCTCATTCTGTTGGGTTATCTTTTCACTTCATTGATTGTTTTCTTTGCTGTGCAGAAGCTTTTTAGTTTGATGTGATCCTATTTGTCAAATTTTGCTTTGGTTGCCTGTGCTTTGGAGTATTGCTCAAGAAGTCCTTGCCCAGACCAATGTCCTGAAACATTTCCCCAGTGTTTTCTTTTAGTAATTTCATAGTTTCAGGTCTTAGATTTAAGTCTTTAATCCATTTTGATTATTATAAACCTCTTTTGATATAAATATATTCCTTTTTTTTTTTTTTTAATATGAACACAGCCACTCTCTTGCCCAGGAACTCCTAGACTAAGCCTCTGGAGTAGCTGGAACTACAGGTGCATACCACCTGGCTAATTTTTTTATTTTTTATTTTTTTTAGAGATAGGGTCTTGCTATGCTGTCCAGGCTGGTCTCAAACTCCTGGCCTCAAGCAGTCCTCTCTCCTCAGCCTCCCAAAGTGCTGGAATTACAGGCATGAACCACTGTGCCTGGCCTCCATTATTATGCTGCATAGAATTACATTGTTTTGGTTTTGTTTTTATTTTGAGACAGTGTCTCATTCTGTCACCCAGGCTGGAGTACAGTGGCATGATCATAGCTCACTGTAACCTCAAACTCCTGGACTTAAGCGATCTTTCTGCCTCAGCCTCCCAAGTAGCTAGGACTACAAGCATGTGCCACCATGCCCAGCTAATTTTTAAAAATATTTTGTAGAGACAAGGTCTCACTGTGTTGCATAGGCTAGCCTTGAACTCCTGGACTCAAGCAATTCTCCCACCTTGTCCTCCCAAAGTGCTGGCATTACAGATGTGAACCACCATGTCCAGCCTGCATAGAATTACATTGTGTTAATTAAATTGTCATTTAATTCTATATTTGGATATTGATGTATTTCCAATTTTTCAGGGTTATGAAAAACGCTATAGTGAACATCATTATACCTCTATTTTATGTACATAACTGGTTATTTTCTTAGGATGAATTGTTGCATCAAGGATATACACATTTTTAAGGCATATGATTCCCTCCTGGAGGGCAGTTTAGCAATTTGCATCAATTTGAATAATCATTACCAGTATATTAGAGTGCCTGTTTTCCTACATCCTTTTATTCTTTTTAATTTCATATATGAACTTTTTTATTTTTTAAGTGCAGTGTGTACCATCAAAATTATCTTTTAATTAAAAGTAGTGGTTCAATTAAGTAGTACTGGCCAAGTATTGGATCTTAGTTTTTTGCAGGAAACCATTCTTTGATTTGTTTATTCATTTACTCAGCAAATATTTATTGAGAACTTACTATGTGCCAAGCACTGAGGCTATATCAGGACACAGTATGAAGATCTCTGCCATTAAAGCAGCTTACATATGAGTGGGGAAAAAAGAGTTAACACTGATACTCAACTTACTGTGTGGGAGGCACTGGTGTAAGCAGTTTTCCTACATGAACTAATTGGTAAGCTCCTTTAGGGTTGAAGCAAGTCAGTGATGAGAGTCCTTCCTTTCTAGTCAGGACTGGCGTGGGCAGAACCTAACTCAGACTTTGTGTGCTTCCTATAGGGAGAGTAATGTTATTCCAAGGAGACCAGGAGCGTTAACGGTGTGTTAGGTGCAGTCTGGAAAGAGCTAAAGCCTGATGTAGGGTTCATTTTCACAGAAGACTTACAAGGATTGCTGTGAGTAGGAAAACAGAAATGATGTACCTGGGATTGAGTAGGTATGTGAGGGCATGTTTGGGTGCAGGTGCCTGAGTGGGCCTGTGTGGCTGCAGCATGGATGAGTTTGAATCCCTGCTCTGCCACTTAATGGCTCTGTGACCTTGTGTGAGGTACTTACCCTCACTATGTCTGTTTCCTCCTCTGTAAGATGGAGGTGCTACACTACCCAGTTCAGAGGGTTATTCTTCACCAGGAACAATTTGACACCCCAGGGGACACTTTCAGTTGTCAAAAGCCGGTGCGGGGTGATACTGGCATCTAGTGGGTAGAGGGAGAGGGATGATGCTAGACATCCTGCAGTGTGCAGAACAGCCCCTCATGGCAGAGAATTATGCGGCCCAAAATGGCAATGGTGCTGAGGTTGAGAAACTCTGTTCCGGAAGAGACAGTCACACAATATGAGGCAAAGAGGAAGAAAGTAAACTTTAATGCTTCAAGCTAATCACAATTTTACGGACTGTGCTCCGTTTTCTTGGTCAGCCTTATGGAAAGAATTACAGAATTTGATTAGTCCATTTAAAAGATTACTTTCCCTTAGAATATCGTTGTTCTTAGGAAATATATGCTCACATGCTTAAAGGTAAAATGTCATGATATCAGCATTTTACTCTTGAGTGATTCAACAACAGAAACAATGTGTGTAGAGAGAGAGAAAGCAAATGTGGCAAAACCTGGACAGCTGGTTTGAGATCAGCCTGGTCGATGTAGCAAGACCCCATCTCTGTGAAAGCATTTTTTTTAATTAGCCAGCTGTGATGTTTTGTGCCTGTAGTCCCATCTATTCAGGAGGCTGAGGTGGGAGGATAGTGTGAGCCCAGGAGTTCGAGGCTGTGGTGAGCTATGATCTCACCACTGCTCTCCAGCCTGGGCAATAGTGTGAGACTCTGTCTCAGAAAAACAAAAAAGTGAACAATTAGTGAGTCTAAGTGATTTGGATAGTGATTTGAACTTTTTTATAGGTTTGAAGTTTTTCAAAATAAAAATTGGGTTGAGGGAGGCAGGTTAACCTTCCTTGCTCGTGTTCAGGATAGTATAGTCTCACAGTGGGTACCAATGATGGGAAGTACTCAGCCACAATAGTGAGTGGCCATTTTTGTTATGACTTTTAATAGCTATAGCCTTGTGATCTTTATTTCCCATCAAGCTTTAAGCTAAGTAGACTTTTGATCTTTTATTACTTTTGAGTAAAATTTTTTTCTTATAAAAACAAGCAATTATTTAATAGTGACTATACCTGGGGGTAGGATTCTTTTTTAATTTTATTTTATTATTGGGCAATACTTCATTCCATAAAACAGAGTAAGTGCTCCATCTGAGGGATAGGATTATGGCTGATTTTTATTTTCTTTTTGTGTATCTATTTTCTAAATGTTCTGTAATAAATATATATTAGCTTTATAAAAGGAAAAAACTTGAAAATTTAAAAAAATTCTCTCCTATCGTATAAGATCCTATTTTTGTTGAAAATATGTTTTTTCTTTTGTTTTAACTAGTCCTGTGACAGATTAGAAAATGTATTTAATTTTACATAAAATTAATGCATCAAGCCTGATTGGGCTTCTTAGTTCAGAAAAATGATAGTGATGGTTTACCTGTATATCATCAGCAAAGAATGACAGAAGAAAAACTGTTCAGTCCATTTAAGAGGGAAAGTAGATGACTTTTTCTTCATCTTACTTCCTCCACACTTGATGGTTGCCAAAATAACATGTCAGCAGTATAGCTTGTCAAGTAAGCAGATCTCCTGTAGTGTTTTCATTGTGTAGCTCACTGAAGTATAAACCTCAGTGGGAGTCACAAGTTTAAATGAAGACTGCTGTGTTTCTCTTAAAATATTTATTTCTCTAATTTCATGTTTTCCTTAATAATTGAAAGTTGAACCTAATTTTAGTAAAAGGCAGACCATTTTTGTTCACCTGAGTCACTAGAGACATTACTGTTAGCATTATGGATTCTTATATAGTTTTTTTTAATGAAAGTTGAAATTTTTTAGATGTAATCTACAAGAAGTGTTTATAGGCACAAAAGTACTATATATATTTAAGCTACTCTGTTGTTTAGATGAAAAATTAGAAGTATAACACAAAAGAATTAACATGCAAAAGGGGTTGCAGATAGCTTGCTTATGTTATGGGAGAGATAATTTATGATATCTCATTTTTCCGACCTATACCATGCTGTTTTTTCCTAACTTTTACTTTGGTTTTATGATCTTAGCTGAGAATTGCTATAAACAAGTCATTTTGCATCTTAAGTGATTCCTGGCTTTATAATTAGCTTATGTCAGAATAAAAAGTAGGCATACGAGAGAAGAGGTGAAGAATAGAAATTAAACTGTGTTATGGAGCATGAACAGGTATAAGAGAGGGGGAGAAGATACAGCTCCTCCCTTGCTTAATAACAAAACAAGGCTGGGCATAGCACCTCACACCTATCATCCCAGCTACTCAGGAAGCCAAGGCAGGAGGATCGCTTGAGGCCAGGAGTTTGAGACCAGCCTGGACAATATAGTGAGACCCCACCTGTACAAAAAATTTAAAAGATTAGCCAGGTGTGGTGGCGCATGTCTATTGTCCCAGCTACTTGGGAGGCTGAGGCAGTAGGAACCCTTGAGCCCAGAGTTTAAGGCTGCAGTGAGCTACGATCACACCACTATACCCCAGACTGAGTGACAGAGCAAGACCTTGTCTCTAAGAAAAAGAAAAAAGAACCAAGAAATATCAGAATGATAAGTGGTATTAAGAAAATAAAACAGGTTGATGTGATAGAGAGATTTGGGGAGTTGGGGCCTCCTGTGGGACCTCTGGAGAGAGCCTGTCTGAGGAGATGACGGTGGAGCTGAGGCCTGAACAGGGCTAAGGAGCCAGCTGTGCACAGAATTAAAAATGTGGACCTTGGAGAAATTAGAAGACATTAGGATTTAAATGTACATCAAACCTTGGGGCAGGAGAGCATAACTTTCTAAGCTTACAATTTAATAGTAATAATCACAGAGGAAAAGCTTGTCAGATTTGCCAAGGTAAAATTTATGGACTTTTGAATTTCAAAAAAAAATAATGTAATACTAAGTGGCAGACAATTCTGAAAAAATATTTTAGCATATAAAATATGTACAGGATTAAGATCGTTACCCTATAAAAACCTTACATAGATTAATAAGAAAAATAGAAGGCCAGGCGCGGTGGTTCACGCCTGTAATCCTAGCACTCTGGGAGGCCGAGGCAGGCGGATTGTTTGAGCTCAGGAGTTTGAAACCAGCCTGAGCAAGAGCGAGACCCCATCTCTACTAAAAATAGAAAGAAATTAATTGGACAACTAAAAATATATAGAAACAATTAGCCGGGCGTGGTGGCGCATGCCTGTAGTCCCAGCTACTCGGGAGGCTGAGGCAGGAGGATCGCTTGGCTGAGGTGGGAGGATCGCTTGAGCCCAGGAGTTTGAGGTTGCTGTGAGCTAGGATGACGCCACGGCACTCTAGCCTGGGCAACACAGTGAGACTCTGTCTCAAAAAAAAAAAAAAATAGAAGACTTGGCGCTAAATGGCAAAAAAGCATGACAAAGCAGTTCTCAGAAGAGAATGTTCCATTCATAAACATCACTAGAAATCAGAGAAATCCAACTAAATGAGGAATCATTTTTTAAAATTTACTTAATTAGCTTAGACTTCTTTTCTTTTACCAAGATCCCATACTAGGGAGAGTGCAATGCAATTGATATTCTCATAAATTGCTAATGACCTTATAAATTAGTGAAAATGCTTCCGTAATCAGTCTGGTAATGTGTACAAAAATATCTCTTTCTTGTCCTAGTACCTCTGGGAATTTATTTTAAATAAAAAACAAAATGTTGGGGAAAAATAAACATTTATACCAAAACATGCCTACATTCTTTTTGTAGATATTTGGTAGCAACCAAATATCTGCCAATAGGGAAATGTTTGAGTAAATCAGAATGTGTCCACTCAGTGGCATGTTATACACTCGTGAAAAAGAATGCTCGTAACAGCCGCAGCAACAAAAGGAAATGTTTTTGGTACAATGGGAATGGACAACCAGCAGCATATAAAATTGTCTATATATTTTTTGTAATTGTTTTTTATATGTGCATGGAAAATATGGTTAAGAATATACACTAACATGTTAACAATGGTGTGTTAGAGTTATGGGATAAAAATCTTAACTGATATATCTTGGAAAAAAATTAGCTTTTCTCTGAAATCTTACCTAAAAACTGACTTAAAACCTAAATGATGACAATAAAGAAATTGACTCACTATTCATCTTTCCACAAAAGAGCTTTGAAGGTACAATCGTGTGGGAGAGCCAGGACCTCCACGGCCTTGTGTCAAGAAATCTTCACAAAGTGGCAGTGAATGATGGAGGGGGAGTTTTCAGAGTCATTACGGTAAGTCATTCTTTTTTTTTTTATGTTGTTTAGTAACATTAGCTTGTTTTTAATGCATAAAAGTGTTGTAAAACTTATTTTTATACCAATTTAGACAGTATGGAACAATAATTCTTGTGTGTTTTAGAACATATGTGGTAGAAAATGTTGCTGAGTTACCATAGTAAAGACAAAAAAACTGAAATATTCTATATGATTCTGTAAGTCCTGTGTTAGTGAATATACAGTTTTGCCTTAAGATTGGTACATTTTTAAAGTGTGGTATTTTATTTCTGAATAATGTTTAAGTTAAGATTCTTTAAGAATGCTTGCTCAGTAGTATTTAGAATATTCAGTATCTCACCTTGATAGTAAAATGTCAGTTAAAATATTATAGATAAAAATATTAGAAAATAAGATTGAGTACCTACTTTCATTTATATTGCTGAAGCAACTCTGAGATTTCTGACTCGTATTTCCCATTTATTGAAATTTGCTTCAAATTTAATATAGCTTGAAAGGTAAATTTCTCAAGGTAAAAAAATACAGGAAGACTTAAAATGATGAATTTCAGCAAACAAGTGTTGTGTGGTGGTGTCTTAGAGAATCTTTTATTTTCCTTGGTGCTCTGGTCTAATGATTAGGAATGCACTGGCATTTAAATTTACAAGCTTAGTGATTTCATTAAATATTAGCCTTATTCACATGAATTAATTTCTGAGTTTGAAATGAATATCACATGATATGTTATTGCTCATTGAAAAACCATTTACTGTACAGCGATTGTAAGGCAGCACAGTGGCAGCCAGAATAGGCCCATCACTGGTCCACAGTGGAACTTATAGTCCAGTGAGGAAGGAAGACATTAAACAGACCCACAAATTCATATGTAATTACACGGTTAGTCTTGTAGGCCATGTTTAGGATCTAGGATTTTGTTTTTTTTTTTTTTTTTTTTTTTTTTTTGGTTATATTTTCCCTGAATATTTTTGTCTGCATCTGGGGAATGGAGTCCTTATTTTCTCTTAGCCCTGGAAACCTCAAACTCTTGGGCTCAAGCGATCCTCCTGCCTCAGCCTCCCGAGTAGCTGGGACTACAGGCATGCACCACCATGCCCAGCTAATTTTTTCTATATATTTTTAGTTGTCCGATTAATTTCTTTGTATTTTTAGTAGAGACGGGGTCTCGCTCTTGCTCAGGCTGGTCTCGAACTCCTGAGCTCAAACAATCCACCCACCTCGGCCTCCCAGAGTGCTAGGATTACAGGCATGAGCCACCATGCCTGGCCCAGATTTTATCTTTTATTATGAAGATTTTTTTGTTTAGTATACAAAGTTGCATGGAATTTAATTGTAATTTTCTTTCCTTATTTTTGAGACAAATGCATTTAATATCTTGCCTCCTTTTCTATTTATGAAAACTTAAAAATATCCAGAACGTGCCAAAATTCCATAGTATTTGAGTTGGTTACACTAAAGGAAATAAGTTTGTTTCTGAGTTGAGGACTAGACTCAAATATAAAGATGCAAATGATCTACTTTGGGGGTAAAAACTAGTTGTAGAGAGCTAAAGACAGCTTAAACATTCAGCTGACTTTAAAAAAAAATGTCAGGTAACTTAGTAGCCTACTCCAAGAAAGCCCATGTGCTGATGAAGGTTTTCATCATAACTGCATAGAGCTGAGAGTTTTCATGAAGTCTTACTTCCTTGCCAATAAGTGATGATATCAGAAAATTTTTAAAGCTGTATTAAAAGCCAAGTTGTGACCTTTTAGAGAAAAGTTAATAAACAGAAAACATTATTGAGTTCTAAACAGCCAAAACAATATAAAAATATCCAATAAAAAAATAAAGAGTATACGATTTTTGAGGAACTACAAGGTTGGAATCTATAGCATTCACCTTAATTTACTCAACATTTGGCTACAAGCATTTTAGATTACATTGGCCTGGCTCGGTGTCCCACACCTATAATCCTAGCATTTTGGGAGGCCAGTGTGGGAAGATCACTTGAGGCCAGGAGTTGGAGACCAGCCTGAGCCAGAGTAAGACCCCATCTCTACAAAACATAAAAAAATTAGCCGGGTGTGGTGGCGCGTGCCTATAGTCCCAGCTATTTGGGAGGCCGAGGCAGGAGGATCACTTGAGCCCAGGAGTTCGAGGTTGCAGTCAGCTGTGATGACGCCACTGCACTCTAGCGCAAGTGACAGAGCAAGACCCTGTGTCAAAAATAAATAAATAAATAAATGACAAGTTACCACAATAACCTCAGAACACTCTACCAGCCTTAAAACATTGTTTTGTACAGTACAACTCTGCTGAAAAGATCTGTTTACAAAAAAGAATAGCCAAAGAGTAGCCCTCTTGATTAGAAGAGTATGTAGAAGAAATACCATAAACCTGCTGAACTGCAACTCTGACAGTCTGATCCAGCCCACAGCAGCTAGAGAATAGCTCTAGTACATGTGCCAAGCAGTATACAGCATGCAGAAGTAAAACAGCTCAGTATACAACATGCAGAGGTAAAACACCTCAGCATACAACATGCAGAAGTAAAACAGCTCAGTAAAAGGGCATTGAATAACTTGTGAGGTGAAGACAGGTAGCTAATAATAAAGGCTCTTCTAATCCTAAAAGGTAGAAAGGACTGCTGTTGGCTTTTGGCATAATAGTCTCTAGGCACCTTCAACGGCATCGGTAATCAATAGGGTTCTTCTGTCTGAACTATCTAGGTCAGACTGTTGATTTAGAGGAGCTTTTCTCTGCATGGTCACTTACTTTTAAAATATACCGAGATGTATTTGAACTCATGAGAATTTTCAATCTCCAAAAAAATCAAAGGTAGTAATATTTTTTTTTTTTTAAAGTGATTGGGTTAGGATTTAAAATAAGTTGGTTTTTGTATCATTATGGTAACAAGTACAAGAACATGATTCTATGTAAGTTGGAATTCGGGACACTGTATGGCCTGTTGAGTATACCTTTTCTTTAATACTGTAATCAAATAACAAAAATAATAGAATGCTATATGTCATATTGTAAGTCATATTGTGATATGATAAGTCTCAAATGCACCAATATCTTAGACGGATTTATCTGCTGCAGTGGAGTCATATTACGACTTGTCAAATCAATTTTAAAATATACATTTATGTTTAGTGATAAAACATTGAGCACACTTCTGTTATTCCTTTCAGACTGAAAAGGGTACATTGCCTCATGAATTCATGGAAGGTGTGGAGGGAGTCGCAGGTGGCTTTATATATACTATTCAGGGTAAGTTGGCTGGTTAAAAATTGAAAAGCACACTGAATCTCATGTATTTAGTCTTACTTTATACTTTGACATAAAGGGTGATTTGGTTTTTGTTTTTTGTCATTTAAAAAATAGCTTTATTGAGATAAAAATTCACCCCTTTAAAGTGTTGTGTCCAATTCAGTGGTTTTTAATGTGTTCACAGAGTTCTGCAATCATCTCCACTAATTCCGGAACATTTATATCACTCCAGAAAGAAGCCCCATTAGCAGTCACTCCCCATTCTTCCCTCCCCACTCCCGTAACAACTGCTAATGTTTCTTTCTCTGTGGATTTGCCTGTTTCGAACGTTTCATGTAATGAAATTGTACAATATGTGGTCTTTGTGTCTACCTTCTTTTGTTTAGCATACTGTTTTCAAGGTTCAACCATGTGGGGGGGGGGTGTGTATATCAGTACTTTTATGGCCATATAATATTCCACTGCATAGATATATACCCCATTTTATTTATCCATTAATTGATGGACATTTAGATTGCTTCTACTTTTTGGTAATGATAAATAATTCTGCAGTTAATATTTATGTACAGGTTTTTGTGTGGTCAAATATTTTCATTCCTCTTAGTTAAATACGTAGTAGTAGAAGTGCTGGCTCATATGATAATTCTATGTTTAACCATTTGAGGCACTGCCAGACTGTTTTCCAAAGCAGCTGCCCATTTTACATTTTCACAGTCAGTGTATGAGGGATCCAGTTTCTCCACATCCTTGTCAACACTTATTATTGTCTGTCTTTTCTAATATACCTGCCTACCCTAGTGGGTGTGAAGTGGTATCACATTGTGATTTTGATTTGTATTTCCATAGTAACTAATGATACTGAGAATTTTTTCATGTGCTTATTGTCCACTTGTATATCTTCAGAAAAATATTTATTCAGATCCTTTGCCTATTTTTTAAATTAGATAATTCTATTCTTGAATTGTAAAATGAATTCTTTATAAATGAGCCACCATACCTGGCCACTTTCTTGGTGGTGTCCTCTAACACACAAAAGTTGTAAATTTTGATGAAATCCAATTTTGTCACTTGTGCTTTTGGTGTCATATCTGAAAAGCCATTGTCTAATCTGAGATCACAAAGATGTATGCCTTTGTTTTCTTTCAAGAGTTTTATAATTTTAGCACTTACATGTAGGACTTCCATCACGTTAAGTTAATTTCTGTATATGGCGGGAAGTAGAGATTCTAGTTCATTCTTTTGCATGTGGATATCCAGTTGTCCCAGCACTCATTTGTTGAGAATTGGTGACTGGAAATGTAAGTCTTTCTTTCTGGACTCTCCAATTCTGTTCCATTGATCTATATGACTATCCTTATACCAGTACCATACCGTCTTGATCATGTGGCTTTGCAGTGAGATTTGAAATCTGGAAGTGAGTCCTCCAACCTTGTTCTTCTTTTTCAAGCCTGTTTTGGCTATTCTGAGTCTGTTGCATTTCCAAATGAATTTTAGGATCAGCTTGTCAGTTTCTCCAAAAAAAAAACCCCAAAAACAGCTGGAATTTTGAAAGGGATTGCATTCATTCTGTAGATAAATCTGAGGAGTTTTGCCATATTAATAGTATTAAGTCTCTGAACATCCTTGAGCATGGGATGTCTTTCCATTCATTTATGTGTTGTTAAATTTCTTTCTGTGGTGTTTAGTGGTTTTCAATGTAAAAAGCTTACACTTCTTTTGTTAAATTTATTCTTACATATTTATTTTTTAATGCTATTGTAAGTGGAATTTTTTAAAATTTTATTTCCAGATTGTTCATTACTATTATATAGAGAAATACAATTGATTTTTGTATATTGATCTTATATACTGCAACCTTGCTGAATGTGTCGTTTTTTGGTTAATAGTTTTACAAATGCCTTAGGCTTTTCTATATACAAGATGTCATCTGCTAATAGAGGTAGTTTTGCTTCTTCCTTTCTAATGTGGATGTCTTTTATCCTTTTCCTTATCTAATTGTCTCAGCTAGAACATATGGTACAATGTTGAATAGAAGTGGCAAAAACAGACACCCTTTCTTGGTATATATTAATTTAATATATTTATACTCATTTTTCAGATATATGCAGTTAAAATGTGTAACTCATTAGTTTAAAAGGCTTATACTTAATTTCTGCTGTCGTCTTATTACCAGCCATTTTCCTGTTACTGCAGTTTTATAACACTTTCATTTTCCTTCAAGTGTTAAATTGTACAGATACTCCTTGACTTACGATGTGGTTACATCCTGATAAACTCATCTTAAGTTGAAAATGCATTTAACCACACCTAACCTGCCCAACATTATAGCTTAGCCTCTAGCCTACCTTAAACATGCTCAGAACACTCATATTAGCCCACAGTTGGACAAAATCATCTAACAGAAAGCCTAATAGAGTATTGAACATCTCGTGTGTGATTAAATACTGTACTGAAAGTGACAAACAAAATGGCTGTATGCGTACTCAAAGTACGATTTCTACTGAACGCGTATCGCTTTCACACCATTGTAAAGTCAAAAAATCATAAACGGAACCATTGTTCAGTCAGGGACCATCTGTATTTATTTATCCTTATCTTTAGAGTCAAAAGGGACTAGAAGTCATTTAGGCCTGTGTTTCTCAAAGGGCAGTCTGTGGTCTGTCTGTAATTCACCTGCATGAGAGTCAGAGAAGTGACCATTAAAGATACAGACCTACTGGGCTCCACCCCAGACCTAGTAGATCTTTAAGCTTGGGGCCCAGGAATCTGTATGTCCGTAATCATTCCTAAGAACCACTGATTTAGTTCCACCCTCCTTTTATAGATGAGAATGCTACAGTCCAGAGACAAATGTAACTTGTCACTATCTCACACATAGTGGTAGAGGCAGAAGTCACATGTAAGTCTTCAGACCCCAACCTCCATCCTTTCCATTTCCAGTGACAAAGAGAGGACTGCTGTTACCTTTCATTTCCTTTCCCCACCCTCTACAGCTCACTTTCTTTTTATTCTTCAGAAATTTTCTTTAATTTGATCAAGACATTTGAGAAAATCCTGACTTCCCCTGCCCTAGTGACATAATTACTGCTTTAAATTAATAGGATCTGGGGACAGTCCCTGCACACATGTGACAAGTGATTCATTAACTTGTGAGAGGGCAAATAAAATGTCTTTTAAGCATTAATAATTATTTTTATTATGAAATATAAATATACCAGAAATAGAGAATACTGAAAGGAACACCCAGGTACCCATTGCTCAGAATTATTAGGTATTTACATTTTGTCATATTTGCTTCCAATTTTTTTTTAAGAAATACAAATGATAGGCCCAGTTGAACTCCCCCCGACACCTGTAGGTCTCCCTAGCCCCATTCCTCCCCTTCCCCTCAGAAGGGAAACCCTTGTCCTAAAATTTACATGTACCCCACCCATTCTTATTTTTCTACTTTCTACTACATATTTGCATATCTTTAAATAACATAGTTTTGGGTATTTTATAATATCATAGAATCAATATATCACTTATAAATTTTCACTCAACATTATTTTTCAGTGCCATTCCTTTTAACGTGCAAGATCAGGTTAAGTTTTTTAACTACTATAGTCCATTATGTGAATATACCACAATTTGGTTTTTTTTCCTTATCAGTGGGCATTTAGCTTGGTTCCATTTTTTTTCCCCACAATTACAAACAATGCTGCAATGGATATCCTTGTGACCATTTAAAAATAATGTCTATAGGGTATATCTACAAGCAGACTCAACCATAAGGTATACATATCTTCAGCCTAACTAGATATTTCCAAATTGAAGTCGCCAATCCCCAGCCAGGCTGCAGACCCATTCCTCAGGGACCGAGCTGAGGAGCTCTGCTGTTGTGCCACCCCACCCTGTCTGGGGAAAAATTGTCTTCCATGAAACTTAGGAGATGGGGGGAAAGGCCTTATAGCAGGAGGTAAGCAGCAGGGAGCAAACCTTCATCTGTATTTACAGCCACTCCCCATCGGTTGCATCGCGGCCTGAGCTCCGCTTACACCCCCCCACCCACGCATTCCTCCTACGCCCCCACCCTCCAGTCATCATGAAAAAATTGTCTTCCATGAAACCAGTCCCTAGTGCCAAAAGGTTTGGGGACCACTACCTGGCAATGTATGAGAGTTCCCATTTCCCTACCTAAAGTTCCAAACAACTGTATTTGTTAGGTTGCCTTGGGAAGAGAATTTTAGTGTACATCGTATTATAGCTTCTGGGTCTTAAGTTTGCAATAGCATTTTTCTCCAGTTCTCAACTTTTTTCCTTTGTAGAAGGTGATGCTCTTTTACACAACCTTCATTCTCGCCCCGGAAGACTTATTGATCATAAAAGTAATCTCCACGAGGAAGATGCCTTACTGAAGGAGGAGAGCAGCACCTATGATGATATTGTTTTTGTGGATGTTGTCGACACTTATCGAAATGTTCCTGCAAAATTATTGAACTTCTATAGATGGTAGGTTGTAAAAATGTTGGTTAGCTAGAACTTGTTTTATTTTTTTTTTTTTTTTTTTTTTTTTGATACAGAGTCTCGCTATGTTGCCCAGGCTGGTCTCTAACTCAAACGATCCTCCCTCATCAGCTGCCTGAGTAACTGGGACTATACCTGGCTCATTGATCTTTTGATGTAGAAACAATTTATCAACTTCAAACTTCTGAGATTTCAATAAACAAAAACAAACCTAAAACTGCTGAACACCTGTGGTGTGACCATTGTATGTATCTGGGCTCCTTGTGAAGACCAAGCTTCTAAAATGCTGCCACTTATTTTGATCAGCAGATCCATAATGTGAATGATACTGACCTATCAAAAATACACAAGGCAAAAATTGATTTACTTTGAGTCGTTCCTACTTGCCTGGTTGTCTCAAGCCAGCATTAGATGAAAATCGTTGAGTTCAAAAATGGTTTGTTTTTAGTAGTATTTATACTCATCTGCCCATATTCCCCAGTTATAGTCATTTGTATCTAGATTACTGATCTGAATTCTGTTCAACTGAATATCCACTTTATATTTTCATTCTCTACTCCATTTAAAAACTGCTTGCCCTGATTCTAAAACTCCTATATAGATGACTTACTGAAATTCCACAACTCTTAGAGTCTATCATATTTATACCTTCCTGGACACTCCAGTGTTTCTTGGATCTTAGTAGTAATTTCTACTCTTATAACAATAATAACAGCAACAGTAATATATAATAAGTG